AGCTTTGAAAAAGTTATTTTCGGTATTCGGAGTTAAATGAATTATGGAGGAATAAAAGAAAGGGAAGAAGAGGAAAAGTTAATCGTACAGAACTTTTTACATAACATTTAATTTTAAGAAAAATTGTCAAGTTTACAAAAATATTAAAATCACATTTCAATAGATACTTAAAATTTCCAATCGCTTTCTAACAATCACATCAATTTGTTATACAATAATAACAATAAATTTAGTCCTTTTGAAGTGAATACAACCAGTTAAACTAGAAATTTAACATTTAACCTGTTTTATTTAAGTCTCTTTCTTGATGATAAACTTAATAGCTCTGCTTGAAGATCGCGTTCAAAGTTTGAGTTCAAAATGTGTACTACAAATAAGTCCAGTTATATGATTAATCAAATCGCGTCTTTTGCACTGTTCCACCCATATCTTTCTAAGTTTTTATCCTTAGGAAACACATTAAATAAAGTTTTTAAATTTTCTTGTTTAGCACTATAAAAATTATTATTGCAAATTGCAACACTACAACCTCACTCCTGACATTTTTACGCGGTAAATTAATAGTTTATATTAAACAACACACCATCAACTTATTAAAAACTATTATCAATAACTAACTAATTACTGCAAAATACCCAAACAACTATGAAAGATTTACTTAAATACTTGGAAAAATGCAAAATTACCAGTGAAGTCGCTTGTAAACAAACATGAATTCTAAAGGTTAGACATCTTGTGACGTAGTATGAGATAAGCCACGCCCATAATTTCTGTCTATTACTCGACCGTCTTTTTTACGGACCGTGGGTCATGAAGGCTTGCAAAAAATGTAATAAAATTTCTAGAGTCGTATTTAAAAAAAATAAGTTGATGATGGTCCTGGAGAGACGAAACGATACATATAAAAATTGATTATGCCATTCGATAGAGGGCAAAAAGTGGCCATGAGAAAGTGTTCTTCTTCTTTCAATATCACTTTAAACAAGGCTGAAATGAAATAAAAACGAATTTCCAAAATTTCGTTTTTTTTAAATATTTCGAAAACTAATCATGTTAGCCTTGATTTTTTTAAAGGCATAATGTTGGTCCCCTGATTATGCAACTCTGCCCCCATCTAAGCTACTTCGTATCCCTTACCTTTTCCGAGATCCCTGTAGTGAAAAGCGAATTTGTAACAGCCTGTATACAACGTGCGGAAAAATTAAATGCATGGGCTGAAATTTTTGCTGTTGCTTTCGGTGTGGAGCAAAATAAAACTCTCTCTCAACGGTAAATAAAAATGTTTTTATTGAAAACAAAATCCTGTGAAAAGAAATGTTGTCGGGATTAGCGTTCGCTGGTGAGTCCTGGTGTGGAGCCGCTCGCAGGTATATGTATCTCGTCCCTGGCGCCAATCTGCTGTAGACTCTATCCTGAAACCATGGTGTTTGTCGGGTCGAGCGTTCGTTGGAGAATCCTGGAGTGGAGTCGCTCGCAGGTATATGTATCTCGTCCCTGGCGCCAATCTGCCATTGAACTTTTCCTGGAACCATGGCGTGTGCGACCCGCGTCTGTTATTGTTCTTGTAACTGTTACACAGGTCCGGCGTCAGACTGGCGCTCTTGACGTAATACTTAAAATGGGTCTCTTGCTGACGTGTGTACCCACAGTCCTTTTTTCTTAACAGGTAGTCTCACCGGGGAGAAGTACCTGGATTTGTTTGATTCAGCGTTGACAAACATTATCGAGAATAATGAGAATTATCTTGAAGACCAGTTGATATTCCAACAGGATGAAGCTGCGCCCTGCCTGTCGGCAGTATCTTGATCGTAGGTTTTCGAATCAGAGGATTGGGAGAAGAGGCGTCATAGAATGGCCTGCACGATCGCCGGATTTGTCTTCTTTGGACTTTTTCTTGTGAGGTCGCTTAAAGTTTAAAATTTATTTCACTCCACCTTTCAAGATCTACGCCAACGCAATGCCAACGAATGCCGCCAAGTTACTCCAGAAATGTTACAGAATGAGCGTAAGTTTTTACAAAACTTATGTTAATGTATGGAGACTGGAGGTAATCAATTTGAACACCTAATTGGTTGACATGTAGGAATTTGTAAAAAGAAGGTTTTTTTATTAACACACTGTGTCTCCGAAACTAATCGGTCAAATTCAAAAAATAAAACGCGGTTGTGTAGAGAATTACAGTATCTTTCAAATTATGTGTCACTTAATCGTCTTTCTCTATTTGGGGGAGTTGCCACCCCCCTCCTTCTAGGAGGATAGAGTTTGTAACAAGAAATTGATGTGAATAGATGTCTCTTCGATCAAAAATCGACCTGTGTCTGTGTTTTTTTCGGAAAAATATTTTCCTGAGAGTTATTCGTTTTGTTTTGTTTTTGCTGGGACACTGTATATTTATAAGCCATTGATTTTTGTTTATTATGTTTTCAACAGAACAGAACATAACAGAACAGATTTATGTATTACAGTAAAAAAAATAAATTTTAAAACATCGTTTCACGAGGCAATTATTTTTAAAAATTGATGTTGACAACTTTACGAATATGCAAATTTATGATATTAAAATATTCCAATACTTCTTTCCATTTCCAATTTAAATTATGCGGACATTAAAACACTTATAGGGAGTTTTGGAAACTTTATTAATTATTATTACACTGCTGTTATAGTATGTACATGTTTAAAAAGTTTAAACTAAAATATTTTTAATCTCTGAAATTATAAAAAAATATTGTAGCAGTATAAAATAAATCTTTACATCAAATAGTCCATGAATATATGGATATTATCACTAATATAGAATAGCTATTATAACGTCAAATTAAAAGATATTTTCAGTAAAACACAATCTCCTTTATGGGTTAATTACGTGTAATTGTGAATATATTTACGTATTTATAATAAAATAATAATATTATTATATTCTTTGAAAATACTGAATCGATTAGACGGTAGTTACGTGCTTCCATCTGCACAATTTCTTCGTAAGCTTCTTACAGCAAATGTTCAGGTCAGTAGGATCCCATAAACTGAATTATAAAATATAATTTTATATTCCAGACGATAGATGCCACAAGATTATCTGCTTTAGTATTTAATTAAGTTCGAGGTATATCTTAAACATTAGTCTATTTCAATTTTATTACTTGCCTACATAAATATTTATCAAATGATTTTTTACACAGTGTAAGATTTATATACGTTGATTTTAAATTTTTTATTATAAATAAAATTAAAAAAAAACACCGTGAGTCTTAAACTTGATTAACCTGAATTGATTTTTACGTCTGAAAATTTAGATAGTGCTACGTCCTCATGTGGTTGAAATTATAATTCGTTTAGATATCTATTCTTTTATTCTCTGTAGTTTTGAACAAAATTTTTTCTCATCAATAGAATTTTGGTATTATTTAGTTCTATTGAATGCGCCGTATCGGTTTCTGGGCCGGATAATGGTGAGTATTTCTGTAAACACTATGTCCTAAGATACCATTTAATTTTCTCTTTACTTCTTAGGAACGGAAGAATATTTTCTTCCTAACAATTTCATGAGAAACTGATATCCATATGTATTCTGTTAATGGAAATCTTTGTATTTTGTTATAATTGCTGCACATAAAACTGATCCCTGAAGTGGTCTGGTGCTCACTTTATTCAAGTATATTATTAAACGAGAAAGTTACGCGAAGTTTAAAAAGATATCTGGTTACAGTTGAATTTTCTGGAGCTTATTCATAAAACCTCCAGCGTTTTCTGCCTTCCTCGTCAGATATTCAATTTTGCATGACAAGTACCGAGCGAGTGGATGAGTGGCTGATCCAAATGCACTCACTATTGGTCGAAGTAATATGTTCGGTATGTGATCTTTTATAAGGTAGTACAGTATTCCTGAGTCACTTGGAATAAGGCCCTATATAGTTTCTTGGAAATGAATGTTGCCTGAATTGCAAACTCCATCTCCTTTTGAGCTTTCTTGGTTGCAATGCGATAGAGGACTTATTTTCCAGTTATGAAGACAGTGATATATCTCTGGACACGTCGAAATGTCTAATATAAGCCGACCATATGGCAACCGTGTTGGAAATTATTCAACTATTGACAACTGTCAGGAAATGGAAGCCTGCAGATTATGAAAGATGAATTGCGAAAATTGTTTGAATCAATGTAAAACTTGAAAATCCTTTGTAGTATATAAGGTGTATTATGAAAGTATGTGCTAATAGCGTAAATTGAATCAGTCTTATTTTTGAATGAAGAATTTTTCCATAAACGGTGACTCGCGTTTTTTTGAAACACTTCTAGAGAAAAATATTTTAACTTCAATTATCAATGGAGTTTTTCGTCATTACGAATTATTTTCGCAAAATTTCTTTTCTTAAACAACAACTACCACATAAATAGGCAATATGTACTGTATAATATAGTTAATAAAATATATGACAATTGGTAAATACACAATAATAATGAAAATTGATTGCAAATCTGCTTGCTTAAATAAAATGAAAGAAAAAAAATTACAAAGATTACTTTTACAAAAATATTTATATTTTTGATTTTCGTCTAATACAAGCAGATTTAGGATAATAATTATTTAATATAAACTCTTGCACTATCTAGAAAAATGTATGAAAGCAGTGAAAATAAGCAATGTAAATCTGACTGAAAATTGGCTTCTAAAATATTCCCAGCCCTTTAATAGCAAAAACATAGACATATACATACATGTTTCACAAACTACAATAAACTTTACCTTCTTTGTACAGTGATTTAATTGTTTGTCATTAATCACATTTTTACACAATGCAATCAAAGCAGATACACTGAAAATTCCAGTAGTCTACAATAAAATATGTAAAACATATTCAACAGCTTCAGAACGTTATCTCACTATTAATCTATGGAGGCAAACCCGACATCATTTTTATTTAAATTTTGATAGCAACTAGTGATAAAAAGATATAGTTAATGTAGCCTCATTTGAATATTCATTACCTCAGTTTCGTGCCTGATGTGTACTATGATTTGAAGGTGAGAATTATTTTAGTGATCCCACAAAATCCAACAACTTTTGTCTTCGGTATCAGGTACTGTTTAACTTAAATAATGGTTACTAGAACATTTTTATTCAGTCAAGGCCTAAAATTTTTGTTCTGTGAAAGTTGAAATTCGAGTATATTCTTTTATTACGATTTTAATCATTTTATCGTGGTTCAAAATTATATAACAGACGTCCAAAATTAAAATAACACCATTGACAGTGGATAAAAAAAATGATTATCGACGGTCAGTATTGAAATTTTTTTGTTAAAAATAATAAACATGTTAAATTAACTCAAACGTTTTATAAAACTTTTACTCTGCACAACAAATTATGTAATTTAATTTGAGTTCTATATAAAATAGAATAAATGATTTCAAAACACTGATTTAGAAAATATATATTACATATTTCTTTTAATTTTTTTTTTTTATTTAAAAAGTTTTTGCAGAGGTGGGGAAGCATGTAAATAGTTTGTTTTTTCATTCATAGAAAATTATTTCAATAGTGATTCTTATTTTATAAGCAAAGAGGTTGTCAAGGAGGGAACTGAGACTGTAATTTATTTGTGTAAAAGCTGTAGTTTTCCGTGACTACATATCTGAGGTGGGGACTTATTATTTTAAAACAGATTAAAATTTTAAGATAATTTAACTGCACAATTAACCTGTTCAACAACAAAATAACGTAGTAGTTAGGAGTGGTGGATAAGAAGAGTGACCAATTGGCAACATGTGCAGTAGTATATGTCTTATCTTTTTATTTTCTTAAATCTGTGTTTATAAGTAACTTGATGATACCCATACATTTTATTTATAGTTATTTTAAAATTATCAAACATTGTATTATTAAATAGTGTAAACGTGACGTCCATTTTTCAATTTAACTCACCGTATAAGTATTCTTATTAGTTTTACATAGTTTACTGAGTATGAGTTAACTAAAAGTAGATGATGTATGAAAATAATTTTCCTATAATTAAGATCCAAGGTAATGTTTACTTTATACTCATATGATTCTTATTTCAAGAATTTTACAAATAAGTGTCAAGGACATAACCTTTTAAAATCTTATTTTTAATTTATGTAAAAAAATTAAACATTCAACGGTTCAATACCTATGTTGATGTTACAACTTAAATTCCAAGCGTTACGTTTATTTCAATATTTGTTGTTATAATCTCTACAAATTTATGTATAGAGATGTAAATATTTGGCAACTACTGCTAGTTGTATTTAAATATAAAGGATATATGTTACTAGCTCATTATCATCATTTATGTTGTGTTTTGATATAATCGGTTTTTTTACAGAAAGTTTGGTAAAATCACTTCTGAAATAGAAAAAAATTGTTTTTATACCGTTAGCGGCAAAAGTATGGAATATATTTATTTCGTTATTTGAAAAATCGCTCGCTTTAGTTGCGCATTTTCTGAAGCAATTTTAATTTATACAGGGTGGCCCAAAAAAAAGTTATGAAATCAAGGCCAACTTTTTTAAACGGAAATTCCACTTTTTTGTATTTTTTCTTGTATTTTTTAAACAGAGGAAGCTATTAAACATTTTGAAACAGTGAAATTCAGTTATTTATTTATAAAAATCGAAATTGTGCACAAAAAAACTATTCCGTAATACTTCTTACTCGACACTGTATGCCATTTATCTTAAAAATCTTGCATACCACACATAACGTAAATATCATGAAAAAAACCTTTGTAATAATACTTCTGGGCATTGATTTTCAATTCGTCTCATTTAATTATCGTAATATCTGTTTAGTGCATTAGGTATATCAACGGCTCGCTGTCATTGATGCTATCACATAGAATAATTGAAATTGATGAAATTGAAAATGTTGACCACACTGATTAATATAATGCTAATAATATTACATTTTTATTATTGCACTAATATATTTGCATCATTTAATTATTATTATTTTCGTTCTACAAGGTGTTAAAGTTGAAAAAATATTTTCGATTTTTTGCTATATTTTGATTATAGACCGATTGTTTTGAAAATTTGTAGTGTAACGTTTGTTGAGGTGGCAAATAACAATATGTAAAAAGTGTCAATTTATTATGTCAATGCCTACTACTTTGGGAAAAATATTTTTTTAATTTAATTTCCACCGTATCTCAAAAACTTAAAACATCTCGAAAACGGTCGAATTTATCGATTTGTAACAACTATACATTTTTTATTTAAAATTAACGTAGTTCAATAATTTCAAGTTAAGAAATTCAAAATTGTAAAATACAAAAAGTTAGACATTTTTACATCGATAGCACAGTATAATTAGCGCCCCTTAGACGCGACCCCAAAACTGTTTGCATATTCGTAATTGCCACCTCAAAAAACGTAAAACTACAAATTTTCAAAATAATCGGTCCATACATATTTAATATATGTATAGCAAAAAATTGAAAATATTTTTTCAACTTTAACACCATGTAGAACGAAAAGGAGCAACAATTGACTAAGGCATGTTTGGCTCAATCACTGTATATTGACGTTAACAATCTGCCATTAAGATGTGTACCATTATTAATGACTCACCCTGTATATACCACTAGCATGTCTCATTCATAATTTGTAAATTCATCGTGACGAGGCATTTTCAGAAACAATTTCTAAGAAATATGGGGTATGTATTAATAAATATTTTCTCTAATATCTTCATAACCGAGCATAAATTCGACGTTTGATAAGTATACATTTTTCGTATAGAATAAATTTTTTTTCCTATTTATGATAGTGATAAAAAAGTTACAGAAGAATATTCACAAGGGTTGTAGTAATAGGAACATAATCCCTGCATACCTGCTTCTTGAACAGAAATTATGCAACAGCAAATTTTACTCAAATCGGTTAACAGGTGGCCATATTCCTGGCCGAGAAATAGTGAAATTTCTGGCGTTTTTAGGTACTGAAAGTAAAACGTGTAGAACTAAAGTAAGCACAAAAATAAAATCCTTGATGTTTTGTTTATTCATTGTTACCATTTAAATTTACTCAAATAAAATAATAACTAAAAAAAAGCGTTTGTAAAACATGCGTTTGCTGTTATCCTAACCCCACATTTTAAGAATTATTTTCACGTACTTATAAATAAAAGTAAACAATTTTATATGTAGGACTAAGCAAGTAAATGTTATAAGAATATTTACATGTGGAGTTATATATAAAAAAGTTAGTATTTTCGTAGATTTCAGTACCTAAAACCTTGAGGGTTTGATCGTTTTTGCACCTGTTTATTCGTTTTACTGCGGCGTCTTTGAAAATACTCAGGTGGCATGACATAACATTCCTATTATTTGATAAGCTTTAAATTATTCAGTTATTAAATATTTGAAATTATTTGTCTTTGCGGAAAACACTATTTAAAGAATATGGAGCCCTTAAGGAGAAAACAAGAAATAAAAAAGACACATTAACACCCTATAACTTTTTTTGCGACATTTTTCGTTTAAGCAAGTTTAGTTACATCCATACTATTTGGGTTCTAGATTATACCCTTGAAGTATGTAACATTCGTTAGATGACACCCTATATATTTAAATGCAACGTAGGACTTACTTTCTTACTTTGGAAGCATGTAAAAGTAGAATGCTGTTTTATTTAGTCATATCTGTACACTAAATGTATATACAGGATGTCCGCAAATTTCACCGACAACGTTTGACTACATGTACACGACGATAAATAAATACGATCTACGAAAAAAAGTTAAATAAAATTTTTTTGGTTTTTGAGTTACAGGCCTTCAAAGTTATTCAAAGTTACCAAAATATTGATTAATAACTTCATAAGCCTTTTACCAATCGCGTTAAAATTTGGCACATTTATTTGGTTATTTGGATATTATCGCGTATTATTTCTTCAAGCTTTAGTCAAATCGATATACTGGGTGATAGTTTTCTCCAGTTACCTCACCCTTTTAGCGGTCAAAACTTATTACAGTGGTCGTATTTTTTTAAAACAGGCAGCAACACTGAAAAGGTCGTTTAATTTTAAAATAATTGTCTTGAGAAAATCGCTTACAGAAAGTCATTCTTGGGGAAAATTACATTATTTGCAGGTCTGTGCGTTTCGGTTTGCGTAGTGTCACGGATTTAAAACTTTGGGATTAGTAGGCGTTGATTGCTGTGGCTATCAGATAATGTCATCATAGTCGTGTTTCTTTAGGATTTTCATTATTTCACATATAAATTTCTGTCCCCACCCGATTGAGTAAAATTTTCCTCTATTAGTACAACTAATAGAGGACTTGTACTCTACGAGTACAACTAAAATTTTACACCGATTTTTTTACAGTGTATATTATGTCACTGCAAAATTTATTATATTTAATACATTTTTATATAGCAGTAAAAATTTTACATTACTGTAGTGTACACATTGTAAAATATTGAACGACACCACACTTTTGATTGTGGAACAACGAAATCGATAATATAATCAAACTTGTGTCGTTAATATCTATAATTCATTGGTTTACTAATATTAATATATTTCTATTTCCAGACCTGACTGTATCCAGCATGAAGCTAATTTTGGTGCCGCTATTACTAGCTGTGAGCTCAGTTAGAAGTGTCCCTAGAGAAACAATCACAGACCCAACAACTTCTCCACCGACAGCCACTGAGATTTTACAGATTTACGACTACATAGTTGAAATAGGTTTCAACTTGATTGAAGACAGAGTTCCAGAGTACCTAGTTAACATATTATATGAACAAACACCAAACGTATTAATCACAACAGACGACATTCTCACTTTGTATGGACTGAAAACTGTTGATCGTATTACCACCTTGGATTTCTTGAGGCAGCTAAACATTTCAGTTGAAAATGTGTTCAGTTTGGATGGTTTAGACAAATTCCTGACAGAACTGAGGATAGACTTCAAAGAGTTTTACAATAGAGTTATCATAAACAGACTGAACATCACAGGAAATCCATTAAGAGATGTTCTGATAGCTCTCAATATAAACATTAATAATTTCTCTATGGGCATGGCATATGGAGATCCAGATCCGTACGAGGAATTTAAAAAAGGCAACTATACTTACGAAGCTGTCGTATCTGCCCTTGAGAAAGCGAATAGGACGTTAGACGATCTTTTTATAGCTTGTAGAGATGAGTTCGTGACCAAAGCTATATCAATTGATTCTAACGGTATCATAGATAGTCTTGTGAAATATAATTTTAATAAAAACAGAGCGTTAAATTTGTGGAGAATCCTGGGGATTACTATGGAGGATGTATTCAGAGTTCCAGGGTTTAAACAACTGTTGGATGATTTGAAAAGTGAGTTAAATAAAGAACCATGTCTGGGTGTTCTCACAGCAGCCAACACTATCACGATCAACAAAAAAGTTTACAATACTTGGAGTGATGATGAAGACCTAGTGCAGCCATTTGCTGAGTCTATTAGTAGCAGATCTATATTACAAATAGTAGACAAAGTTGATACAGAATTGGACAACATCATCCTTTTGAAAGTTACATCCTTAGAGTTGTACGCAGCAGACGTCAAGTATATAGAGCAAGGGAAATCGGATAGTGATCTCCAGAACTGCAAGTTTGTCACTTTGAATAATGAAAGCATTGTTGTCAGTGACGTAGCTAGGGCAGTTAACCATGCAAGCTATTTTAATATACCAAAAGGAAATATCACAAATTTAATACTTGGAAGTCCCTTAATTTGCGAGAATAAAGTGTACGGTTTAGCCAGAGAGATGAGTGGGGATGAAATTGTTCTGGATTCATTTTCTGGTGTTGGCAAATTATTTTTAAATAGTTATTTATTTAGTATTGGGGTAACTGTGTACCTGAGTATATATTGTTTGTAAATATGGAATAAAGAGAAAGGTAAAAAGCTTTTTCGTGAAATGTTTGACATATGACATAAGATTGTTATAACATAAGTTATAATATAACATAAATATGTTTCCGATGCCTCAAATTTTAATGTGTATATAGTAAGTACAGTCTTCATTATTTTTTAAAATCTTCGTTAATTTAGTCAAGCTACTGTGTTCTTTTTGTAATGTATTTCTGCATCTGTAATTTAAATAAAAAATGGGTTTTAATATTTATTGTTAAAAACTTATTATCTTGTGAAAAATTACACCAATCATAGCTGGTGAAACAGAATGTTGTGGCTTCATGCAATCTTGATCTTACTGCTTCTATAATTTTTAATTTTACCGAAATTGCCAACGTGGAGGAAATAAAATTACTGCTCCAAACAATATTACTGGTCACGTGGCTTGTAATCATTTATGAAGGCTCTGTAGTTTAACTAACAGCTGAATTGGCATAAAAATATGTCAACTAGTGTCAGACATACCGAGAAGCACTGTCATTGAAAAATCTCAAAATCTCTCTCAAAACTTTCAATATGTAATTGTATTTAAAAGAAAAAAGTCTTAATTAATCTAGATTAACTAAATATAAAAAGATAAAGTCCTAATAGTTTTTTTTTCTTAATTTTCTCTCACCCCGTTTTAAAAATTAACTAAATTGATTAATTTCAATTCAACATTAGTTAGTATTAACTTAAATTAATTTTGACTTAATATTTATTCAACCTTCAATCTTAACTTATATTAAAATTATATATACCTAATAACTCGAAAATCAAATTGATAAAATTGAAATATCTCTTTCAAATACGATTATGAATCATAAGATTTCAATAGATTTTCAAAAAAGTAGCTATAAATCCTAGGGTTTTTCGTGACTATGCCTGTCAATATCGCGATGTATTAAGCTTCAACACGCTGTATCCTGAAAACCAGGTTTTTTAGACAATAGGTTCATTAAGACATTTTGGTTTAATATAATACAAGCAACACGCTTTTAAGATACATCCTTTATAATTATAACAGTTTCCTCACATTCTCCAAGATGTATCTTGTGGGTAACGTTTTATAAAATTAATATTACATCATACCAATTTTAGTACCTAACATTTTTGATTTATTATATAATGGTTGATACTGATATATTTATAACATTTCTATGTAACCTTGATGTCAGCAAGTTATTTCTTAATACTCACGTAATAATTTACAAATAATACTTTAAACACCTAGGTAATGAATAAAATAAAAATGAATGATATCAAAATTTGTGAAGCAATGGATTTTGTATTTATTTGAACAGAGCTTATTATACATATAATATTATACTTATGATAGTATTTTTAGTTTAACATCCTAAATGTTTTTTATTATATCTAATTTTAATAGCTTCAGTCAGGATTTTATACTATTTTTTTCCTTTCTTTTTTTTTCTTCTAAAAAATAAAACAAATTTAGATTATTTTCTAAAATTACATAACACATATTTAAATGAAAGTTGTTTAAGCAAGTGTCTTAGTTTCTATCGTAGAGAAGTAGTTGTATCTATTTAGAATATGATAATAATATTTTTGTCTGTCGATATTGAAAGAAAAGGTAAGAAATAGTAAATAATGACATCTCTAACTATAGAAGTGGATAAACTGCCACATTTGACAACACCTAAATTTATTTAAATGAAGTGAATAAGTAAATAAAAATGTATACGTTTTCTATTTTTAATTTGTCTTTTGTCAGTATGAAATTTTTAGATTAAGCAAAAATTTATATTTCTATTAAAATAACACTTGTGTAATTTTTTTGTTTGCAGTCGTTTATTCCGTTAATTATTAAATTTTCTAAACTTACCAAATACCCAAATAAATATAAAAATAGTTAATGCACAAATGAATAATTTCAGATAGTAATAGTATTGCTTTCATTTGTAGATACATACATACATATTTTATGAAAAGAATTCAATTTACCCAGCGTTTCGTGTTTACCAGAAACCCTTCTGTGGTTTTCAACGCTAAATAAAGTATTAAATATGTCCCAGTAGTCGAAACATTGCGCGACACCAAGGGCCCCACAGAAAATAAATTGTCCACTGAGGAATGGGTAGATTAAACCAAAAGTTACAACAGTTTTTCACGATTGGAATAAACTCCCAAATCCCTGGTACTAAATTTATAATATGTATGTATGTATGTAATATTTCTGTCACGGTTTAACATTTTGCACCACACAAAATAACGATTTTAATAAGACAAAATGTGATTAAATAATCTGAAAGGACTAAAACTGTTCTAAAATGAACCTTTAGTATAAGAAAAATATGACTATGAATTAAACAAACATACAATTCTTACTATCTACATAATATTTTCTGAATAGATATAATTTCAACAGTTAATTGAGTCATAAAACTTGTATAAAACGGTATTTAAAGTAGAATTATAGGAAAGTTTTTAACCAAATTGACACTTAAATGAACTTGAAGAACCGTTGTGACAAAGTTTTAGAGCTGATCACTTAAATACATAATAAGTAAGAGCAACGACTTTTAATAAAACTTGTCCTAAGACATATCTATTTATCTCCATCTTCTATCTTCTCCCTTCAAACATTTTCAAACTTGGTACAGTCCGGTTAAAAAGGGGTATAAAGAATTTCAACCGACAGAAAAGTTATTGGACATCGCAGAGAACCTTCTTTTACGGAATCGGATAGACCGATTCCAAATAAAACTTTGATTCTTAAAATAAAAACCAAAATTTGTATTGAATCAAAGCAGGTAACTAAATATTAGTGTATATTCGAAACAAGCAGTTAGAAAATTTAAATATAATAGTTCTGAATGACCCTGTATATACATTCCATTACATCAGTGTCCCTGCGATCCAATCAAACTGCGAAATAACATTTATACCTACACGGTAATTTAGGTTTTAATTGGAAAACTTCAGAAGGTAATGGAGCAGATTATTTTAAGTAAAAATTTTGTTATTTTGTTATGTTCATTCCATTTTCGAGAGGGTGTTGAAATTTAAAAAATATCACTTTTCTGAAATATCCCAGAAGTTGTTTGACGTAGAAAATGAAATTCGGTTAAAACCCAAAATTCGATAAACTGACTTACAAACACTGCTAATGGCGGAGATACGGGGAATTAGTACTACTAGGAGCCTCAGAATTTCGACGCCAATGAGTATTATATAAATTTGATTACTGTTTTTGATTGCCAATGTTATACCATTTTCGTTGAAAGACGATTTTTTTTTTTAGATTTGAATGTGAGTGTTACTCAGATAAATCGAAGATGAATGAATGAAAATATTATAGAATAGATGTAACAGAAAACAAATCAATATCGTAAAAATGTACCCATAAATTTAGTTTAAAACAGTAAGTGACACCTATATTAGCTTTTTCTATTCCCCCTAAAAATTGGCAAGCCTGTACATCTAAAACTGTACTTGTTGACAATTCATGTAACATTTTGATGATAATAAATCCTACTCTACTCTACGACTAAAAACTTGTATACTGATTTGTATATACTATTTTTATAATCACTGGGTATAATCCTATATGTAACTATTCTTATAATAAGGCTGGACAATTTTGGGATCACCTTTTAATTTTCCGCAAAGAATATAACTTTCCTTCATGCATCATTAAATAGTCGGCTGTGCACAGACGGCGACCACTAATGTAATATTCCGTTATAAAGTTTGCGACGCCAATTCAGTTGGGTAATAAATTAGTTCGCAATATTCCGCACGTCCTTCAGAGTTGCCTTTATGAAATTTGATGCGACTGCAAGAAGAATTAATATTTTCCATGACTTGACTGCATGAGAAATAATTACCGAAACTGTGAAATATAATGTGTCTTTGGTATATTACTGGGGGTTATCATTGTTTAAAAATTACTCAGGTATACCAGTGTATCAATAAACTGTCTTTTGATTTGTGCTCTTAGTTTACTAAAAAAATTTAGAATTTTCATTAACTAATCCAGTAAAAGAAGTAGAATGAAGTGATTGGTATTTATAAAATATGAAGCCCTCCAAGAAAAATCATATACCTATCCAAATTACCGCTTCTGAAAGTCCATACGAGCCACTGTTTCAGACGCTTTTCTGCGATGATTTTATCTTAATCTAGGGCATACATTACCTCCATTAAAAGGCATGGAAACAGGTAGTCTACTTCAGTAGCGGAAATAAACATTGAAGACACTAGTTACACAAAAATTCAAGTTCCAAATAGAATATTTTCGATAGTGGTTTTAACCACTGATTCTGATTCAGTTAACACAAGCTCAAATTTAAAATTTCAACAATTCAACAAAGACAATAATATAATACACTGTAAATAAATCGGTCTGACTGAATGCTGAGCGATTCCATTGAGTGAAATTATTGGGTACATTCTCAGTCAATATTGAGCATTTTGATATCTTTACACATTTTTGATTGGGAAACTTTATTTAAACAATGGTCAAAGTTATGGAAAAGTGGTTTTTTAACTCGCGTAAAAAACTATTATTCATAGCGAAAAGAGGTTTATACGAAAAAGGTAGGTAGGTATTAAATAAACCTTTAAAATGAGACAAGTTCGATTAAATTCGGATAATTTGTTTATGCGCAAGAACTCAAAAATGGTCGAAAATGTCCGTTTTTTCAATTGCTAATAATTAGTGCAATTTTCATCGTAGACACTTGTAATTCAGGATTTTTGAAGATTTTTACACCCTTAATAAGTGATAAAAAGTTTAGCCCGAAAGCTTCATTGGTTTGGCGTTGGCGGAATTTGTTATCTAAGAACATGCTATTTTCAATTCATTTTTCCCAAGCCCACAGGCGTTGTAGAGTTTCGATCATTAGTTGTTTTTGTACCTAAATAGTTGTATTGACATATGCATTTACTGAGAATTTAGTTTTTTCAAATTTAATTTGTTTAAAAATGACTGAAAAAATGTTAAAATATGGATTAAATTGTTAAGATAGGTAATTATTATAAAATAAAATAGTAACCTCTATACTTTGGTTTTCTTCGAATTTAAAAAAAATCGTTGTTGTAAGTTGATTAGAAGCTGAGATAATTTGTTTTTATTTAATCGCAGTGACTTTAATTATTAATATTAAGAGCCGAAATTTGGAAAGAGTATACATTAAGAGCTATATTTTCATGTCATACATTAACATTAACGTGAATTCAACTATTTAATTGCGAAAAAG